CCCCAAAACCCCAAAACCCCAAAACCCCTTTTTTTAAGATAAATCTTGAAACAAAACTTAGATAAGACAAAGCATATAGCTTGGCTATCTTACAAAAATACTTCATTAAAAAGATAAATCTGTAGGGAAAAGTAAATGTACTTATTAAGTCGGTTCTGCTTTGCGAACATAAACAAATTCCTTCTAATTCTAAGCTTTGTGAAATTTAAAAGTTATTAATACTTCAAAGGAAAAAGATTTATCAAATTAAAAAGGAATTATTTTAAAGCTTCTGTAGATTCGATCATAAAGAAGATCAATAGGGCTGGTCCAACCTTGTTCTTATAAGTCTTGGTGATTTCTTCATACAGAATCTCACTTGAAGCACTACCTTTAAACTCCTTCAGAGTGGGGATAATTGATTTAGGCATGTTTACCTCTGCTTTAGTTGACACCTCTTTAGGATTATTCTTGCCAACAAGCCCTGAAAGCCCACTTAACTTTGACACCGCTGGTGCTAAATTCTTGCTTTCCTCCTTTTCTGGTGGACTCACATCTATAATTTCCTTCTCTAGTAATTCCTTGACTTGAGCTTTGCTCTTATATCTCTGTGAGAATGCTCTTGTTTCAAATGAGCAATTTAAAAGTAGGACTAGCTTGATAATGACATCCTCTTCATCAAAAGTGGCTAAGCGCATTTCTTTTAGGATATATGCATAGGCCATCTCAATCTTATCAGAGCTGAATAGAAGATGATCGCCCATTTTTTTAGCTTCTTCATTTCAAGTACTTTTTGTGGTACTCTTTTTGGCATTCTTCAAACTTTTGAAATTTACTTCTGTTAATTTTTTTGTTTGATTAGTCTAAAAATCAAGTGGTCAGTTTTCTTTTTGTCAGCAATTCCGAAATTAATTTTCCATTTGTACAATTTATTCTCAACATATTGGTTGATGCAGTTTCTCATGAAGGTGCCTCAGTCAATGCTTAAATTGTCTAATGATTTAACACTATAACTTTTCTTTGATTTTCTCACATCACTTTCTGATCCCTTGCGGGACTCCTTCAGTGAAGTTTTGGAGAGAACAATTCCAGGAATCCTGAACATATTTCTCTTGCAGCTAGAATCTTCTAGAAAGTCAGCACAGATGGTGCCGAGTTCTTTAAAATCGTTATCGGTTACTCCATGTTCTGAAGAAGTTTCATTGACTAAGGCAAGCCATACATGTTTAGCTTCTGCATAATTGACTACAGCTCCTTTTTCTTCTCTATTTTCCTTTGCAAGGTCAGGCAAATATGGAGATCAATTATGCCTAATACACATGAGGAACCTTAGAAACATTAATAAAGTGTCTGAAGACTGGAACTGAATCCTTCTTAAATTCTCTTTCTTTGATACTGGAATCTGATCAATCTCTCCTCCATGGATATTCACCTTTGTTAGATTTAGCAATGCTTCAAATCTCTAGTGTTTTGGCTGAAATGCAATGCAAGAACTAATACGACTAGGAACAGAACGTTGGTCAGCATCTTTATTCAAGACGCTTACTTTACCCTTATCATCTCTATCTCTCAAGTGTGTTGGTGGTTTCAAGGAAGTTAAATGTTAGGATTGTTCAACAAAATAGAATATAAAAGGGGTTTTGGGGTTTTGGGGTTTTGGGG